CTGTTTGTTGTTGACGCATTGTTGATTTTTTAGTTGTTGCTGATGATGATGCAGATTGATTACCAAGTTTATCAAAATATTCAGAAAGAAATTGTATAGGATTTGAAGGTTTTTTTAAACATAATTGAACAATACAATCACGTAATAAATTTTGTATATCATGTTTTGCAATATAAGCTTCACAATCACGGACTGTCTGTTCGGACGACGATGTATTGTCGACCATGATTATTTATTTCTTTAGATGTGATGATCGATGGAAGCCTGAAACACATATATATGTCAACATTAAGAAGAAAACTAACAGTAAAAGAAAGAAAACGCAATTGAATTGTAGTAGTATGCCGAACGATAGTGGCAACCGTCGGCATAGAACAGAACACAATAAAAAAAAAAAAATTGTTCTCTTCTCGATAGTGTGCGTGTGTATGTGTGTATGTGAAACAGAGATAGAATCAATCAAGGTCGAACCAGAGAAAAAAAGCGCAAAAAAAAAAGTCATATCCACCATCATTGCAACTGCAACTAGTGCTTCAAGCAATGTAACTCGGTAATGAAAGACACAACAGCGTATGAGAGTACAGAGATATAGAAAAATTCAGAATTACTATCACTTTCTTCTCTTCTGCTCGTTTTGTTGTTGTCGTTTTTGATAGTGATGATGTCATTGCTCTCATCCCCACGAGTCTTATAGATATATATATATATATATATATAAAGGGACTTTCATATAGGCGTGACGAAAGAGAATGATAAAATAATAAATGACTTTTATAGACAAAATGAATGTAACTGACAAAAGACAATAAAACGATTTGAAAATAAAAAAAGAAGAGAAAAGCAAGAAAAAAGAATGCGTGGATAAATACCAATTTCAATTTTTTACTTAGTTTATGACTGAGTAGTAACTAGACATTTTTTTTGTCCTCTCATAATCGACATAAGTACCATTCTCTTTCTCTTTCTAACTCTTCTGGTCCTATGTTTTTTTTTTCGTTCCCTTTCTCGATTTTGTTATAGCAAAATAGAAATTATGGTTTTATCGATATATATATATATATATGACATTTACGGAGTGACAAGTATCTCTTCAAAATAAACAATGAAAAATAAGAGAAGATGCCGACAAAAACTATTATAACTATCCAAAATACAAAATTCTATCTTCATTAATCGACTATCAAATGAGATCATCTTCACGGATAAAAAAATCGATTATTTATGTCTATATTTTATTCATTCGAAAAAAAAAACAAACTAATAACAACTCTCATAAATCTGAATGACTTTTTGTTTGTTTATTTAGTTCTTGTCAGAAAAAACTAATGTATTTCTTATACATATTCTAAACATATCATATTATATTATTCTGTTTTTTTTTATGTTTCTTCAAAACAACAGAGTCTTCTAACAATCTATCATGAATACAAAATACATAATAAAGAATATAACAACAGCTGTATCATAAAATATAAAAAGAAAGAAAGAATCACATAGAAATATTGCCTCTTACTTGAAGTGGAAAAAAAAGAAAAAGTAATAAAATGTTGATTGAATTATTTCATCCCTATAATAGCGACACAGATGGCCTTTATATTGTCTTAATATATATAAAACACATATCAAATACCTATCGAGGCATGACTAGAAAAAAAACTACTATATAATCTGTTTTTTTCATCTTATTTGTCACCTGTACACATATATATATATATATATATATATTACGCTCGATTTAATATATTACTTCGGGTAATTACGGTTTTTATTTTCTTAGAATGAGAAGAAACGTGACAGGAGGTGAACTTAATACTTGCAATCTTTGTTTCATTAATGAAACTAATATTGAAAAGAAAAAAGAAAAAGATTTTCATCAACATATTAACATCATTCATTGTGCTTTTTTGTTTAATATGTTACTTACGACATATTGTTAATGACGATGGTTAAGAGTTGAAAGGATAGTAAGTTGCATGAATAAATGGATGAAAAAAAGAACTGCAAATCTGGTTTGCTATCGTCTTATATATATATATATATATATATATATATCTGGTCTATGTGAAAAAGAGCAAAATCACTCACGTCATATACATACAATGAAGAAATGCCGCGAGAAGAGAAAAAAAAGGAAAAGAAGAAGAAGAATATTAGTATAGTGAGTGAAAGTCCCTTGGTAGAACAAACATGAATGACTGTTGGCAATTATTCTTCTTTTTTTTCTTTTTGTCGGTTTTTTTAACGATCTCGTGTTTTTGCTTGATCGCTTATGGTCTCATTTCTAAATTAAGACGAAAGCAAATTATCATTAGAGAAATAACAATAATGATCAGACAATAACGGAAAAAAGAACGAGGCCTTATACTTCGTCTTTTTTTTTTTCCCGACATGTCTATTTTCTATTCATGTTTCTTATCATTTATAATCAGTAATAGCTTGCAAATAACGACATAAAACAACAACAACAACACTAAAGAGACACATTCTGAAACGATTGTGTTTTTTTCCTTAAGTAGAAAAAAAAGATTGCAACGAGAAAATCGCTTTTAGTTTCGACGAAAAAAAAAAAAGAAAAAGACAATTGAATCATTTCAGAGTTCGCTTCTTAAATATGAATATAGTTATCTAATTTGACGCTATATGAATAAGCATTCTCATCCTTTATTATTATCTTCATCATGCACTGCATTCTTTTCTAACTATTTTGCATGATAAAGTATATTCAGTTTTTTTTTCCTAATGTAGTTTGTTCTCGTTGTCTATTCATTTATATATATATATATATTCTTTATGAAGCAAGAATTATGTGGAAACGTGTTAAATTATTAGTTCAGACATAATTAGGTTACATTAGGAAAAAAATTTTCCATTTCATAGATAGTAATACTTGAAAAGAAAAAAAAAGAAAAGAAATTTTTTTTCGCTTACCAAACAAAGAAACAAACGAAGTCGATTAAGCTTTGAAACTATCTAGAAATATTTAAAAAAAAATATAAATGTATATATATATATATATAAAGTAAATTCTATTGAGTTAATTTAATAATAATAAAGGAAAACTGCAATTGTTTTTTTTTTTCTTTTGCATTCATAATAAAGGTGATAGCCTAAATCTTAGTTCGGTAATTGACAAATGGGAAAAAAGAATGGCTACTACGAACAGCAACAAGCACCAGTTGGGGGCTGTATCCATTTACTTGTTCTTTCTACTCTATTTTTTTCTTTTTTTTTTTCTTTAGCTTGGCAAAATTCTTCTTCATTCCTCGTTCTACTAGCGATGTTAGTTCTGCTTGCTTCTTACAAGACGAACACCAATAAAGCAAGGAAATCTATTAGCATAAATCAGAAAAAAAAAGTTAGAGAACAGAAAAAAGAAAAGAAAAGAAAAAAAGCTTCTCTGAATTCTTTATGCTTATGTGGTTTTTCTTTTTCTTTACTTCGGAGAAAAAAAAACAACAGAACAAAACCCTTGGACGTAGACAAGTTAGTGCCATCTATTCACAGAGACAGAGGTGACAGATCAAAACTTTGCCATAATTTCATCTTCATATAGATATGGAAAAGAACTAAATAATATGTCTATCATAGACATCAAGGCTAAACCAAAAGAAACAAAATAGACCTAATCGAAATAGGAAAAAATATTTTTCATTTATTTTTTTTTTATTATCTAATAAATGACGCGTGATTTTTAATACCAAAGTTTTTTTTTAAAGAATTTATGTCAAATTAACAAGAATAAAAAAAAAAATAATCTTCATATCATGTAGTTGACAACTTATTTTAATTTTTAGTCCATATATCATCACAAAAACAACGGACGTGTGGGATTAAGAATATTTAATAAAAAGAGACAACATTTATTATATTATTTTTTTAGTATTGTTTTTTTGTCTTCTGTCTTTAGAGATATCTATCAAACTTTATTTTACAATGTTTTTTTATTTATTTTGTTTTGTTCTCAGACAAAAACATTTCATTCAATTAATAATTATTCTTTAAATATACTAAACGAAACAATGAAACTAAAGTTTGACATAAATTAATAAAAAAGAATATTATCTTTTTTATTATTCAAATATTGTTTTGGACTCTATTGATACTGATGAGACATAAAATAAAAATATGATTATTAGTCGAAAACAAAATGATACTTAAGATAATCATCAAAATAAAATGAAGAATTATTATTGGTAGAATAACATATCCAAGATCAATGAGAATATCTAAAAAAGAAACAAACAAATAAATTGTTCATTTTAATAATAAAATATCCGAAATGAATTGAATAGCCTAAGGATAAAAGAAAAAACATATTTTCTACTTGAATTATGGAACTATTCAATGATATGCGTTTGTTGTTTTTATAAACTTAATCAAGAAAGAAAAAAAAAAAAACTTCGTCATATTGACAAATGTCTTCGTTAATGGAAGATAAGCGAAAACAAAGAAAGAAGATGATATAAAATAGAGTTGATTGCCTTTTCAGATACTTCAGAACTACAGGACGTATTTAGGCATAAAAGAAGAAAATATAATGAGCATGCTGTGTCAAACAAATGAATGAATACCAATGTCATTTCTACACAATAGATCTACTTCTTACTTCCTGACCATACACTAAAATAAGCTCTCTTTTTCCCTGTACAATTCAGTATATTAGAAAAAAAAAGAAAAAATAGAAAACTAATTTCTCTAGAAACTCCCGGCAATGTTTTATACAGCTTTAAAACAACTTAACTAATAAGTTTCTTTTTTCTCAAATGGAAATAACTCATTGACTCGACGATTTCTTTTCTTAATTTCTTGTTAATAAAAGAATACTGCACTAAGAATAATTTTCAATAGTTTCCTCAGGGAAATACTTAATCGGAAAACATGCATATAGTTATTGACAGTTGAACTCAGTAAGAATAGACGAATAGATAGTTCAATTTTCTCTCAAATAAAAGAAAAGAAAAGAAACAACGACATTGTTGAAAATTATTCTTTTTTTTTTGTTGAATAACAAAAACAAAACAAAAAAAGATAACAACCAATCATAACAATATAATAAACAAAATCACTGGTTACTGTTATTATGAGTTGTAGTTAGTTCAAGAAATTGTCTTAAAATATCAATTAATGCACGAGGTAACATTTCTAAATTTTGTATCACTAAATAATATGGAAATGGAAAACTATCCAAATATGAACGAAATTCGACCTAAAAAAAATTTAAGAAATTATATAATAATATATATATATATTATTTTTTTTCTTTGTTTTTCATTAATTTATTTACTTTATCACCAACAAATATAGCTTCATTGATTTGAAAGATTGATGTAGATTTTTCATGATTTATATTATCAAGTATAATAAAAACAATGAAAATATTTTGTGACATTGCATGACGAACACTCTTCAATAAACGATCTTTACCAGATACAGTTAAACCACGACCATCAGATAAAATTATTAATAATTGTGATAAAGGATTTGATATTTGAACTTTTTCTTTACTAAATGTATATGTTACGGATTCCATAAGCTGAAACAACGAAATACAATTAGAATATTGCCAATTATGTTAAGAAAAGAAAGTGTAGAATAATAAATGTAACATTAAATTTTCATCAACTCTCGAAGGATTTATTTACTATATTTATAAATGTGCAAAGAGTTTCTCCTTGAAAAGAGACATATAATAAACTCTTTTAGAATTTATCAAAATTTCAAGTAGAATTTGCTATTCAACGCTTCTTTTTTTCAGTATTATATTAAGGTGTCGGAAATGTACAATTAAAGTGGAAAGATATTTTTCTGTTTTTTATATATGATTACATAGAGCGTGACGAACTAAAACAAGAACATTTTCTTTTTCTATATTTTTTTTGAATGATTTTTTTGAGAGGAAAATTTTCAATTTTTCATTTCCTTTTCAAAGATTAGCATATATAGTAAATCTTATTTTCATAAGACTTTGAAAGAATCAGAATCAATTTACTAATAGACAACTATACACTCAACGTTTCATCATTGTGCTTCTTGGTATTATTCAAAAGTGACTGTAAAACACTTTTCTTATATTTAGTTTTGTAGAGCTTGGCACGGGCTACAAGCTTATACAGTACTTAACATTTTCGATAAGAAAAAATGTGATTTTTTAAGGATTTGACACTGCTTTTGACAAATGGTGAGTCTTCATGTCTTCAATAGTGTCGACCATAGGAGATATGACCAAACCCAAAACTTTCTCAGAAACTGCCTATGATGTAGCACTACAAATTGTACTATTTAGAAGTTCTTCAATATTGTTTTGCATTGAGAAATCTTCACAAGTTTCTTAATCAATTTTCGTCTTTGACTACTGTATTTCGGCATATTTTAACTATTTGAAAGTCAATTCTGACGGAAAAATATAAGCTATTCAATGCAGTGTGTTATACAGATTGAAAATATCATATTTATTTCGTACTAGAATCGACTTTCGAATAGTTAAAATACCACAATAAAATATTCAAAGACGAAAAATTGATTAAAAAAAGTTCTAAAGATTTCTCAATGAAAGACAATTTCGAGTAATCATATATTCATTTTGAAGAAATTCTAAATAGTATGCGATGTAGTACTACACTATGGGTAATTTCTTAGAAAGTTTCGCCTCTGGTCACATCTTTTATAGTCGACACCATTCAAGATATGAAGATTCATCATTACTGACAAACGGGAGTGCATCATTGAAAAATCACATTTTTTCCTATCAAAAATATTAAGTATATGAGCTTGTAGTTAGTAAAAATTTCTACAAAACTATATATGAGAATAGTTTTTTACAGTTACTTTCGAATGATACCAAGAAGCATAATGATGAGACTTTGGATGTATAGTCGTCTATTAATAAATTGATTTTGATTCTTTCAAAGTCTTATGAAAATAAGATTTACTATATTTACCATTCGACGCTTCTGAGCTTCCTCTACAACATGATATATTGAATTTGTCAGTTCTGAATAATCCGACAGAATCCTTTCAAAACTATTTGTTTTAGATTTAGGGTGAAAAAGTGAACCTCGGAAATTCATTCAGAATGAATTTTCTAAATGGTCTTTGTTACCCTAAATCTAAAACAAACAATTTTGAAATTTAAAGGAAATGAAAAATCTAGAAATTCTCTCCTAAAGAATTATTCAAGAAAAATAGAAAACGTACATATTCTTGGTTAACTCGTCACATTCTATTTTAATCATACATTAAAGAAATGAAAAAAATAATAAGAAAACTTCCGCTTTAATTTGTTCAGTTCCGACATCTTATTAAAACAAAAACAAAGAATAAAGAAAAAAAAAGTCGAATCTTACATCTGCTAAAAGTGTTTTAGTTTGATCAAATTTTAATTGTTGAAGTATTTGAATACCATTTTGATGATTAAATGTTTGA